AAGGGCGGGATTCGAACCCGCGACCTCCTCTTCCGCAAGCGGCAATGCATGCACGGCCCCATCGCGACACGCGGCGGCAGGTGATGAATTCATTCTACTTTAGGTACTATGCGAACATGTACTACAACTACAATGCGTAAAAATGGAATGGCACTCACAAGGATCGAACCCGCTACCCTCACTTCCGCAACGTTTGGAGCAGACACTGAACCACTGTGCTACGGCTCCCGCTTGTGGCTCACTCCCAGTCATTGGGTACTGCTATTTCCACCTAATATTCGAATGCGTATGCTGCACTAGTAACGCAGAATCCTCGTTACAGTGCTGAGGATCATATGATCTCTGTAATTTGCACGTATATTTGTTTTCTAACAATTCTATTTTTTTAAATCTAGAATTGAAAATAAAATGATCAATGCGATAATTTTGTGGAATGATAATTCATTTATAATACAGAAAACAATGTAAATCTAACATTACATGTCCGTCAAATTTACGATTAGATGAAAGCGTGGAGAATATTATTAAGAACATTAAGATTTTAAGATATATTTGGGAGCCCAGAATATATGATCATCAATGCGCAGATTTCGAATACAACTCGGAGAGGTGTCACTCTAGGCGGGGTCGATTGCGGCGGAGTGGAGTGGGCCGACGGAGGGCGGATGTTTAATGCTGCAACCGGCTGCGGAAATATCCACCCTGACGTCACAGATGCACGCTTTTTATTTCAGTCAGATGGCTTACGGGAGGCAGGATTTCTGCTGCGAAGGCTCGGAGCATGCTTACTGTTCGGCAAACTTGGCATTTAAAAGCATTTTGTGTCGTTATAGCATTGCATTTGCTTGCCTAGTATTTGTGAATTTTATTAAATATATTAGTAGTTAACATGACACTCGCATTAATCGAAGAATGTTGATGTTGTTAGTAATGTTTTCTTTCACCTTTTTTAATGCGAAAGTGTATGACGTATTAGCAGAAGTGCAATACTACAAATCAATGATCCTCAGCATACAATATTATGTACATATATATTATGTACGTGTATATTATGTACGCTTAACAGTATGTAAAAGAGCCAGTCATTATGAGTAATAAATAATTCTGCCCGTAAAATTTTTTTTCTCTCAAAGCAATCAGTTGGGAGTTTTGATATAGAATATTTACAAGAATGAGAAAATCTAGTGGTACAAAAAAATGAAAGTAACAAGTACAGACAAATACATACACATACTCATATTACGCATCGATCATTCATTCCTCTGATGTGTTCATATCAGTGGTTAGCAAAAAGTGCGAGTCAAGGAACAGGGCATCCCAAATGGAGCCCATACATAAACGCACTTTGGTTGCGTAATTTTCCGCGACCGTTGTATATTGGCTGTTTGATGCACGAGAAGAACAACGTTTCGTCGCTGTGGCTGACGTTTAGACCATCATGTCGAGGTTTTCTTCAGTCATATAGCTCCAATCTCCGCAAGAACCCATGTGACGCTAGTATAAAAACCCTTTAACCTACAATAATTACTTAGATCTCGAATGGCCTATGAAGGTTGAATGTGAACGAGCGAAAAATGAACAAGTTTTTCCAAACTCGCACATTGACACCTTTATTCATTATCCAATTTAGAAAGTAAGCGTAGGGATTTCTGAGCTCAGAAACGTGAACTTCTTCCCATATGCTACATTTACGTTAAACAATTTGAAGCCATTTTTAATATAATTTTGAAAATATTTGAGGCTTCTTATGAAGTACTCCCTAAAATCAAAATAGCCGATTCAATTACAGAGATCCTCGAGTTTATTTAAATCGATCGGGGATATTAATATTTGAGAAAATCGGCTGAACGGTTGACGCGCTTGCGTTGACCACAGACGGACATTTTTCCGTCAATCGATTTTTAGGTATCAAGGACCCACAAAACATGCGTTCTGAATACCCAACGTTTTGGCAGATGTATTTATTATATCTGAAACAAGATTTATCCAGTTTTTCTTTACAAGAGTTTTTCTGTCGAAAATTCGCCGTTTTCCGACATTCGATTACAATACTTTCTCTCCTTAGGAAATAAGGGCGAGAAAGCTAAAAAAATATTTAATCAGTATTGTAGTTTTGCCATGTGAATGTTTTGTTTGTAATCGAATAAAGCGAGTTCGCCGAAAATGGACCTGCGCTATTTTTATAAGTACAATTTGCTCAATCCGAGTGGGAGGATATTAAAAAATGGTGTCTTTTTGAGAATTAAAAAAATGCATTATCTTCAAGTTAAAATTACGCGAACACAACTTGTTGTTTCAAAACATTGTACGTAACCTACTTTAAAGATATTTTTTTTTAGTTTTCGCTGAAGAACTTGTTACGCTAAAAAAGCATATCGTACTTTCTTGCATTGCTTCTAAATTTGTGATTTTTCTAAAATTCAGAGAGTTAACCAAAAATGAGATCTGCACCATTCTTTTAAGCGTCCCATGTTCTATACGTGAAAAAAACTGAAGCGGTTTTAGAGAAGATGTTTTATTTTCATAAATTGCATTTATTTCAAGCGCAAATCACGCACAAATTACTCTTGTTTTCAAACAATTGTACTGTGACTTTTATAAAGACCTGAGTTTTTAAAACGGATTTTCTTTCAGGAAAAAATGTTTTTTCATCAATTTTGTAATTTTGAATTGTTAATTTTTTATAATTTTCCAAAATACAGTGAGTTTGCAGGAAATAAGACTAGCACCATATTTTTAATCTTTTGATAGAAACAAGGAGAAAATTTAAACAAAAAATAAGGAGCCGTTTTGGAGAAAAGAATTGTTTAAAAAAATAAAAAAATTGCCTTATTTTACGCAAAATTACGCGTAAACTACTCACACGATCGGAAAATTGTAAATGACCAAAATTTAAGATTTCAATGAGGAAAAATCTGTCTTCAATAATATAGCAGTTGTTGGAAAAAGCCAAAAAAAATGAATTTTAGCAAGTTCCGAAATATTTTAACAAAATTGAGATCATTCATTTATACATTCATCATCATACATTCTCTTAAGCATCCTTTACGCTATCCGAGAACAAAGTCTGGAGCCATTTTTAAGGAAATTTTGAAAATGTTGTTCAGGCTTCTTATAAAATGTCCCCCAAAATCAAAACATCTATTTCAAACTCAGAAGGCTTCGATTGAAATCGTTACAACTGAACGACAAACGTCAACATTTAGTACAACTGATTCTGCCAGAGATAATTTTCTCGAGACTAGACTACGCAAAATCAAACGTCTTCTTTGTTTTTACACCTGTTATTTTTTCCAGATTCTGTTTAGACGTCAAATTGTCTCATCAGCTTGGGCAGCACACGAAACCTGCGCTACCCAAGGACAGAATGTGGCTGTTTTGGAAAACCATTGAAACGCTTTCGTCAGTTTTCTATCGAGTATTCTTGGGATCTTCGTGGAAGTTGGACCTTTTACATTCGTAGCCTGCGTTCCTGGGCGAGGGTTGGAGGGAAGTCGGCCGTAGCGAAGTGTGAGAATAGACCGTCCGCGTGAGGGTTCCCTCCCGCACCGCCGCCGAGCGCGCGCCCTCGACCGCCCCTTCCTCTTCCTATGACAGTCGCTTACCAACGTCGTACCGACACCGGAGGACACCAAGGCTGAGGGTGTTTCAACTGAGGGTCCGAGAATTGCAAAATAATTGAAGGAAATTTGTACTTATTTAGAACTAATCATTAAGGAGCGAATTTCCATGAGTTGGCATATTTTTGTCTGTTGCTTCAGAGCGTAGCCCAGTGAAATTTCTTAACATTTGTTTAGATGCTATGTAGATCAATGTGTTAGTATATATTTGTGCATATATAACCGATTTTTCCTCTTACTGCACATTCGTGTTATTACATGTGCACATTTCCATATTTCGTTAAAATAGGCCCTTATCTCTCTAAAACATTTCATATTTTCATAGAATATATTTATTTTTGAGCATTCATTGATTAGAAAGAGCTTGTCACAGTGTGCGTTATGTTTTATTTTCAATAGATGATAAAATATTTGTGGAAATGTATTTCTTGATATTTTATGGTGAATATTTACTTCAATTATTTATCCAGAAAAGTAAGATAGATTTTGTTATGTTTGCATAAAAACATATATTTTCATTCCAAACATTTTTTTCCTGAAATTTTGTCAAGAAAGGTTTACACAGGAAATGAAATATTGTTAATTTTAATTGCATATTAAAATGCATATTTCAGAATTTCTAGATCTTAAATGCACATTTATAAAAGCATATTTCAAGATTTCTAGGGCTCTGATTCTGAAAACATCTCCATGCTAATGATTAGGGCTCGGATTCTGATGACATGTCAGCATTTCATTAGTGCATTCTAAATGTTTCTCACCACGTTCAGGTGATAGAAATGTATAATTACTGGATCATGTTTGTCTTTTTTTGCCATTTTCAATTTTTTTTGTCAGTGCTTGGACCTTTGCGTCATTTTGGTAATTTTTATGCATTTTTTTTTCCTTTTCGTGCTTTTTGTTTGTGAATATTTTATGAGTTTATGACACACTATAACGTTTTTAATACAATGTAATTATGTAATATTTAATGTAATTTGATTCATGACGAAATTCACTACTGCAGTGTTTTTCGAACTCACAAAATTACAGGTATCTTCGGTAACTTCCTTGACTTTTCAAAATGCCGATTGGAAGATAGAAGCTATGGATTACATTTCGTCCTAAAATAAAGACTTTATATTAAATATAATTTTTTCATTGGATAAATAAACATTTTCAAACAACTTTTTGGGATTTTTTTAAAAAAATAGGTATTTTCCCCTTATTTTTAAGTCATTTTATAGGTAATTTCCTCTTATTTTAAGTCATTTTGTGGTCATTTTCAAAGAATTTTTATATCATTAGAACCCTAACCCTGATACATGAACCTCGATACATGAACTTAGCAGTATAGATAAAATCAAAAATGACCATGTGTGTACATAAAATGTTTGTGCGTTAAGCCATTGATGTATGTAAATATTTCAACCATCCAAGAGGATTCACACCTCGTTCCATTCCTATTCGTGAGAGAAGTCCTGTTGTGATGAGTGTTGGCTTGGGAGCAATGAAAGTTGAACTCACAGTTCATCAGCATTTTTTAAGATTGATTTAACATCACGTGTTACTCGAAATGATTGTACTTTACCACATCAATATCTTGCGTAATTCAGATGCAGAAAATCGGCCTTAGATACAATGAACCTCGTGAATACGATTATATAACATTACAAATTAGTAAATAAAATTTGGGTATAAAATAAATAGAAATAAAATCAGTATAACAATAAACCTTTGAACCTAGTCTACCCAGCGGGCGTAGCGCATAGCACGTGGCTCCGGTGACAATCGGTGTTCCTGGCTCTGATCCCGGCGATGGCACTTAACCACTGTTTTCTGTAAGCTTGCCCCAGAATATACAGACGTCGCCAGATATCCTCCATTAACACACATCTAATATAATTAGCTTATTACTGAAATGTTTGTCAGCAAAATGCCCAAAAGAATTTTTGGTCAATATAACACCCAGAAGATGGTAATTGAAAGTGTATGGTATGCGACTGAAGTGCACCATCTTACATAGTTCAGGTTAAGTATAAAATGCATAGTTAACTGAGACCGACATATAGTGGAGAATATGAGTGTCACAACCCGAGCTCTTCAGAGGGACGCCCACGGTCGCGCTTGCATGAAAAAAGTCCCCTAGACCCGCGTCGGGGATAGACTTTGAAGTAAGTCTTGGCAGAACATAGCAGAGCCCGGGTGCTGAACTACGGCCAATGACCTTGACCCTGCATAATAACCTTGAATGAATCAGGAAATATCGCAGATCCAATTCCAGCGACAAGTGAGACAGTGACCAAGGTGTCGGGACGAAACGACCTTCCCATCCCAGTCTTACTCTTCCTTATCCCTCCTTTTTCACTCGTCACCCGGGGGCGGGGTATTCTCGGAGGGCTAAAATCGTTCGTCGCTGGAGGAACTCGGCTGGAGGCTCGCGGCGCCGTCCACAGAAATACGCTCCACCCTCCCCGCCTCCCCCTCCTCACCCCCCCGCGGATTCCGCGTCGGAAGGCGCGGCGCGGCGCGGCGTCTAGACGCTTCCTCCGCGACTATTCTCGCGCCCGCCACAGCCGCGACGCGGCGATATTCTCGGTCGCGCCCCGCCCCCAGGGGGAAGAGTTTGCTTTTAAACGTCTCCTTCGCATGGGTATACCTGACTGCTGTTAAATGACACCTGAAGGGACCCACCACACTCGTGATACTTGACAGTCTCACGCAACCATTTTGGCGCGACTCGTGTTTAATCGTTTTCATAAAACTTTACTGTTATATGCAACCAAAGGAACGAAAAGCTTTTCGTCACGACCGGCGTCCGTTAAGGATTAAACAGCCCACCAATCGTTAAGAAGAATAGAAAAAATAATTTGTATGATGGCGTAGAGTACACTTACAGAAAAATGGTATTTATTCTTTATAAGACCTTTTTTTCTTACAAGATGGTATTACGAAAAGTATTGAATAGCATACGGCTGATAATGCAGATAACAGGCTCAGTTGTTTATAAACCTCGGCTATAACCTAGATTTATAAACTTCAACCGCGTCCGTTGTTTGCTGTTTATCCGCTTAATGGTGTGATCCCGAAGGCGCCCACTTTCGGCCGTCGTTGACTGCCCACTCGGCGGTCGCCTGTAGCTTCTCGTCTCCAAGTGCCACCGTCACCACGCGTCGTACCCTTCTGTCCAAGCGCTACTCTGGGCGAGTCTGGGAGTTTTCGGCCCAGGGTTGTGCGCACAAATCTTTAGAATTCGGAGAACGAAGAGTACTATTCCGAAGAAAATCAGGCAGCGACATATTTTGTTAACGACTGCTTTCTACGCGGGGTTGTGTGCACAACTGTACGTGCAAAAGACGCAGCACTGGAGTGGCCACCTCGCAACCTGTGCGAATGTCGGAATGGGAAACCCAACTTTTTGTTAGCCGGGAAGCATCTCTAGATGGCACCTTATCCGGTTAATCAATATGTTTCGAAAACACCTATGCCAAAATATTACTGGATAGGGCTCTACTCGCGCAATGTGTAGACAATGGAGGAACTCGCGCGCGTGACGATTTGAACAGCTAAAAGGAGAGATTTTGCTTACATATTACCAGGACATTCGAATTCGGTGTTAAGTCTTAAGAGAGAAAATCAAGGAATAGTACATTCTTACCGTCTTCTCGTTATAGAAAGTTTTAGTTTTATGAATAGAGAGTTGGATTACAAGGTAAACCAACCGAGCTCTCATAAGGTCTACTTTGGGGGACTTTTTCGTTATAAAAAAGTTCGGGATACTGATCCTTTGCATTGATTACTGAAATAATACTAGCTTTTGCTAAATAATTTGTTTGAAAAACCTTCGTCTGCTTTGAAATACTTAAAAATCACAGATGAAACATTTATGTAAATGTAAATGTAATAATGGCGCCATAAATACAAGTTTGTACCAGTACGCAAACATTAATTAAAATTCAATCTGAACTGAGCACATTATCTTCATTAACCTTCCAGCGATCGCGCGTGTGGTATAAATTCCTCCTGTGAAAATAAAACGGCGCTGCTCGTGGATGTTCCAACTCAGCATCGCGGTAAGTAAGATGTTCTCTAGTTATCAATTGAAATTCAAGATAGTGGCAACGTCTTCTTTAAGACCCACTCACATGTCAGCCAAATTACAGCAAAAGGGACCTATAACATCAATCTTTGCTCTCTACGGTATAAACACCGCCACGCGATCGCGTCTGTTCCAGTTTTTTTGCACGGGTGTGATGAGTATGTAAGAATATTTTTCGTATATTTTTGTAATAAAAATTTCATAATAATACTCTTACGCTAAGTATTGTGTAAGTTATATAAATTGGTTATTCATTACGTGTAATTTGTAGGTGATTTCAGTGGATTTTATTAATCTAGATTCATAATACTTATTATTCTCGTTTTATTATAACATTTTTAGCTACCTACAGATTCCAGTTTTCATCTTACTTATTAACTTTTTACCTTCCTACATTATTAAATTTTAATTTATATTTTTATTACGCCATTATTTTATTCTATGTATTCGCATTTGTCATCACTGTTTTGGGAAGCCAAAATATAAGACGGATATTGCAGATATTTTCAGGAGAATAATTAAAATTCCACTATTGATGTCACTTAATAATTTACCCTTGGCTGACTATCAAGAGAAGCCGCAATATTGAGAAAAGAAAATAGTGTTCGTCGGCGGAAAAAATACCGCTTGCGATCGCGCCTGTGACATTAACTATTCTTTACATGTCTTAATACATCACACACGTCTAGACCATTTCGGGAAAAAGTGATCTTCAATACCTAGTTATGAATGTGAATCACATTAGCAAACGCATTTTTTTCTCAAGGTGGAAATTATATTAGAGATTGGTGTTCTATTCAACAAAGCTTAATTGCAACAGAAATAAGAAAAACATTTAAGACGAATTGAATAATCTTTTGTTTCCCACACGTTTTAATAAAGGAGCAACATTTACACAGAAATTACTGACCAATTGTAATTTTTAAACGCCGTTTTCTCAAAGAAATTTTCGTGGCATAGAATTAGTTCCAGAGGTTGTTAAACACGAATGTCGGTAATAATAAAATTAATCGTATCGTTCGAGCCAACTCTGCCAAATAATTGTAAGGCAAGTGCTTAAAGATCAAAAGGCACTACAGTTTTCCTTCAAAATGCCATGAAGATGAAACATTTACTAACAGGAGCTAAAGAGGAACTGGTTTAAGTAATGAATGAGGCTTCTCAACATCAAACCTCCTCAATAAAGATTTTGAAAACGTGCCAAAGATTGGTTATCGTTCAACCTTTTGCTGAAGGGAGCAGATTGCTATTTTCAAATAAGGACGACTTTCCTAACCATACATCAGAAGGAAAGGTTTGAATTAACGTTTTCTCCAACAACTCTAACAACTTTGAATCTGTATGACATGCATTATATTGTTTTCAAACAAATATGTAAAATTTTATGATATTAATGAATGTTTTTGAGTTTTTGAACATATGCGTGATCTCAAATTTAAACTAACAAGAGTTTAATACATTTTTGACAGCCACTTGTAAAAGTGGATACTTTTAGGACATTCACAGTGTGCTGAAAATTTTTAGCGCTAGCCATAGGCGAGACGATGCTCAGATATCTGTGAATTCTACTAAGAAATAAATACTCTCGTCTGATCGCATCAGCAACTCTTGACCTTCATGTAACAGTGATTTTTATTCTTGAATTAAAATAAAAGGAAAGGCAGCAAGGCTGTCTAAAAATAGTGTATGACATATGAGGTAAAAGTGAATTTATTTTACTCGTAGGATTGCGCCTCTCGGCCCCAAACGCGACATCGACCCCTCTCGTCCACGGGTCGCAACATTTTCTACTCGCAAAAGCCAATGTCACTTTTACCACTCGTGTAATGAATAACTATTTTCGACTTGACCAGAACCCTGACCAGTGACCCTGAATTCCACTTGACTTTCGGTCGATAATTTGTCACTGCGGCTTGCTTTCTGAAAGCGGAAGATTTTGGCGTCCTCTTGCTGTTCTAGGGTACTACGGTCCCGTTCAAAACGGGACATTATGGCCACTTTAGAGGTACCTCTTCGAGTGCCGTAATATATCAAAATACAATTTTGAGAATTTTCTGCATATTGAGCTAAGGAAATAGTAAATATTAAGTTTACATATATAGTACGTTCCACATTTCCAACATGACTGATAGCGTTACAAAGTTTTAGAGCCTTATCACTGAATTCCTCTTTCATTCACGTTATCTAAAAAATATATTTTTCGTCGAATTCTCTGCCTTTATTTCGTTTTTATAATGCTTTAGTTATTATACAATACCAACGTATAATAGAGTGACTGTAACATTTCTTTATGTAGTTTTAGCGATCTTCGGGACAAATTTATTCACATTTTAAGGCAAGCATGCTTACACAACTCGCAGTTTTTACACTTGACTCGTTTGCTATGTTTTATATAATTAAATATTTTATTGATATAAAAAGAAACTGTAAATGCTTTTATATTGATTCATTCTATTGGAAAAGGAATGCTCTGGAACGATTTTCTTCTAATTATGTATTTTTAAACTTAAAATCTTACGAAATCATAAGTACATGTACTTTTCTGAGAAAAGTTATTGTTTGTGTTTTATAGTTTCGTTTAGATTAGAGAACGATTTGAAAATGACGGACGTCGCATTTGCTGAATTGTCGGAAATAATTACTCCACAAAACATTCCTCCCTGCCTTCCTTGTCAGAGGGACGGTCAAGAGTAGCCTCTCAAGGACGCGCAAGAACCATTTACACCTTCTACGATTTACTTCGTTGTGACGGAGAAGAGATTAGACGCACAGCCCTCACACAAAAAGGATGTGCAAGGGAAAAACTGAAAGGCAAAACATAGTTTAATATTATCTTGGTTGCTATTTCTTGGATACATTCACCTCCCTCGAAACACTTCACCACACTTGAAATGCCCTCGCACTCAATCCAATAAGACAGTAAATCGAATTAGTATTCACCAACTTATGGAGCTATTCTGTTTTATTTTATTCTTTGCGAGGGTGAGAAATAGGAATAACCCTTATATTACGTAAAATTCATTGTAACTTTATCCACAAAAACTGCAAGCGGCAGTTTAACTTTACGAGAGGGAAGGTGTATCCAAGCATTTACTTCTACCCTTTCTCAAACTTTTACATTAGCGTTTTATTTACGCCACACTACTGTTTGGATGAATGAAAAATACATGCTGTTATCAGAAAACAATGATGTTGTTGTAAATGTATTTTTAAGAAATTTTATTTTGAAAGTGCTAAGTGCTTATGTAACATGCAAAATGTGTTGTTCCTATTTTGCATGCAATGTTCTGTTACTTTTTTATTTATAAAGCTATGATTGTGTTAATGTTCCACTAATAAGTGTTTTTTATTAATTTTCAATGTTAATTTATTCATTTTTAGTTGTAGATGCAGAGGTCCTCGTTGGGCGCGCGGGAGTCCTCTCGTCTGCCAGATTTCACATGCAAAGTCAGCTGAGGAGGACGTCAGATTTTGTTGGTATGTCACTTGTTCTGGTTCGTTCGCTTGATGTAACCTGAAAACACGAAACAGGCAAGCAGGCAAAGCAAAGCAGTGAAAGCAGGCAATGCATGCAAAGAAGGCAACGGAAGTTGTTAGTTGCAGGGGTTGCTGTGTCTTATTCGTGATTATGGGGATGGTGTGAGTGAACCCACTTGTTGGTTGGAAAGACTGCGAAGACTCTTGGAATTTATCCGTTAATATGATCCGACAGATTCATACTCCAACGGGACCATAGTGAGGTCTTCCAATATGAGCAAAGTGTGATTTGACAGCTGCGTGGAAACCGCTCCCAGCACACAATCTAATTTACTCGTATCAAACTTAGCCCTATTTTTTATATAGATAAGACGCCTTGATCTTAATCTCTCTCAAATGGAGACCCAACATGTATCTCATGAACACAAGGTTAGCGGATAGATCAACCAACAACGCTCCATTTTTAATAATTTCCTGTAGTTTAAAAAATCTAAAATCCTGTCCTTCAGCGATCATTTATCTCACGAGGTACATGCCAACCAACTTAACTATATTTGTCTCTCGCAACATGGCTACAATTATTTTATTTCCCAATATATAAACTCATTTACGCATCCCTGTGGAAGCTAACCTCTTCCGTCAGGAAGCAGGCCAGAAAGTTTCTCTGTGTAGAAAAGGACCCACAAGCCTACACATTTTAGATCTTCACTATTAAATAAACCGTCATTCACAATTGATGTACGTTGTGTATTATTAGGAAATGTCGATCACGGAATTTGGTTGGAGTGAGTAGAAAAATTAAAATATTAGTTTGCAGACGTTTTGGAATATTTGTATTCCATCTTCGGGGCTGATTTAAAAAAAACAACAACAAAAATCAACAGCATGAAAACAACACCAGCCCTGAGGATAAAATAAAAAATTGGTGGTTGTGTATTATGTTTGTAAACGCGAGCAGTTTGTATTACATTTCTCCGCGTATTGTCCCCATATTAATGGTTGATGTGTACTATTCGGGAAGGTTAGAGAGAAAAATTTGCAATGTGATGAAAATTAGCATGTTTTAGCTGGAGGAAGAGTGATACAAGTGTTATGATTGTGATATTACACTATTTGTCATCAATATTTGAAGTAAAAGTCTGGTTTATGATTTTCTGAACAGTTTCTCATATTTTATCACCAAAGGTGGCTAGGGCATCAACTGATGTCATTGTAATGCCGCTGACCAGAAGGCCCTAGGGTTCAAGTCCCGACGAAATTGAAAGAGGGCAGGACTTTTGCTACTCGCTTGTCAGCTAGGTCGAATTCAGTCGCTGTCTGGAGGAGAATTCTAGCGGCCGGCGGCTCTGATCAGTAGTTTTCCGTGTTTTCTCCTATCAACACCAGGCGAATGAAGAATGCTGGAGAAGCATTTTATCCAAGCAGGCATCTCCCACTAACGTGGCACCGCCTCAGCCAGACAAGCTCTAAGCTCCCGACAAGTGTGGTGCTCATGCGCAAGTGAATGTGTGTAATGGGTGATGAAAGGACAAAGAAGAGAAAGGAAAACCGTGCGCGGTCCGTGGCACGTTTGTTATGGCACTGCTGCGGTATTCGCCTGATATAGATAAGCGAAGCTACTGAAAAGCACAGATCAGAGCAGCCGGCATCTACAATTCTCCTCTACCCGAAGTCTGAATTCGACATAGCTATGTAACTAGTGAGGAAAATCTTGCCACCTTGGAGACTGGAACCCTAGGACCTCCCTGTCATAGGCACTGAAGCGGCATCAATTGATGTCATGCGCCACCGAAGCCGGCCAGACGTGCAGGTCGGCGCCGGATCTCACATTCTTGCAGGGAGGAGCATTGCTCATCCTGGCTAAAGGAAGCATTACACTCACGGAGCAAACTGCCAAAGTAGTTGACTAAATACTCACTCACTTAGCGTGGTATGTGGCACACGTGCAATGGCCTCAAGGGAGGGGCTTGGAGGAGGGGCGCCGAGGAGAGTGCGAGGCGTGAGGGAGGGAGGGGGAGGGTGGGGGAGGGGGGGGATGGGGGAGAGGGGTATCGCGGAAGGCGGGCCCTCACCCGTCGGCTGCGGAAGTGGTTGGCGTTGTCCAGGAGCACCGCGCGCGCCACAGCGGGGTCCGTCGCCACCAGCACGGGGGTGCGACCAGCGTACTCGCTGCCATAACACACAGCGCACATGAGCCCTTTAATTCTCAGTAAAGGAGATAAGATTGTTCTCTACCTACCGGTTGTTCAGTAAATTATTTTTAATTGTAAATATGTATTCGTTTCTGGACTTTTTTATCACTTAAAGCAATCAGCTCACCCATCCGCCCGTCTGGACGTCCCTAAGTGAATAATTGTATTTCCTATATAGTATTACACTTTTCTTTGAGCTTAACATTGCTTCCGTCCTTTTATGTGCTGCATCCGATCATTGCAAAGCAAATTTCGTATTACTACGTCGCTGGTAACAAGTATGAATTACGTTGTAGAAGAAGCGTTGGTATTGTTCGCTAGGGAACTTTTGGCTACCCTAACACGTGAAACACAAAAACGATAGGTACGCGGTTCAGTTTCCCAGATAATGGAATCAATTCCTTTGCTTCTGAACAGTTAATGCAGCTTTACTCCCGTCCAATCCCCACAGGCAGTGTGCGAAGCGTATTTTCGTGATAATACATAATATTAATATGTAATATAATAACATTAAGTATTATTATAGTATTAAGAAATAATTATTGCCAAGATGATAATTATTATCATAATGACTTACCCGAAGATGGGTCCGAACTGCTTGACAAGGCTGAGGTCCTCCTCGCCCTGCACCTTGTTCCACCGACCCCACCAGGAGCCGAACAGCACTGATCCTTTGGGCCCAGCCACGCCGCGCTTCTGGAAGAACTCGTACGGCTGCATGAAGAAGCTGCAACAGCAGAGGGAAGAGATCAGGTCACATGTTGGTCAGGGAAGCTCCAAGGTAACAAAGAGAAGCTGCCACGAGTTAGATGTGAATCTTGATAGATACGAACAGGATTAGGACATCGAGCGGTAAAATAATATTTTTTCCGTTACGTTAAGACTTGCGTTCATGATACGTTTTACGATACATTGTTGAGACCTCATTTTTTGGCTTTATTACTAAAACGTAACAGAAGAAGAAAATGAGAATAATAAGCGAAGGTGTCACTCCACGAGGCTAAAAGTGAACGTCGGAACGAACACGTGAATCTTTACCATTCATTTTCTTGACTTCAGTGGGACGCGGTTTTCACTGCTGTATAGGTCTTTCCAATCAAAACAAGATGTCTTGACCGCCTTTGTCGCATAGTTTACTCAAAAAATAAGTGTTGCATTTATCTCCTATTGCTCAATGTGTCCATTTACTCTCCCGCGGGAAATAATTTTCCAAGCCCCTGACTCCACCACGAACCCCGCCTGCGTCGCCATGTCTCCCGCCTGTCTCCGCAGTGGCCTCCGCCAGTTAATGAGGCGCGACGATGTCTGCTTCTCCCCGCCCTTTGCGCTCGCTGCCAGCCAGTGGACAGTCGCCTCCTCGTTATCCCGCCACATTTCCGTTATTTGCCGCCCCATTTCATGCCTCTCAGCCAAAAATACTTCTACCACTCATCCACCCGCTAGCCCTCTTCAAAACTGAATACTCTTGGCTGTTTAGGCGTCTCCGTGGTATCGTGGGATGTTTAGCCAACGTTTCGGCCGACATTGGGGGCCTTTCCGAAAGGTTGAAATTCTACTGCTCGGCCTTTTAGCTTACTTCGTATATCATTCATCATTACGTCTCTAAGGCTAATGAAACAAGGGAGGTTTACACATAACTGGAACAAATACTTTTCACTGCGAACCCAGAGTTCAACATATTTCTAACAATGTAATAGAAATGTTTTATTTTTACCAAGATATGTTCATGCACGCTGTAGGGAAATACGACAAAGAAATTCCGCTGCCCACCTCAATATAAAAAAAAACATGCCACACATAATTTTAACCTCCAAGTTTTTTTGGGGGGGGTGAAAGAACATATGTGTCAGACTACGGCGGTTCCATATACTCAGAAATCTTTGTATTTATCTTATAAACTCGTTATGTTACCTTCTCTACAACAACTACTACACTCACACGTTTCCTCCAAGGGGAAATGTCGAATGATTTCAAAAGATAATTACATACAATAAAATAAAGAACAGATGACGGCAGATAAGCATTCATTCTATTAATTTTATGACTTTATTAAAATTTAGTGTTTATCTACAAAACTGGCAATGGATATAATAGCAATGGATAAATCATCAGGAGCGCACTACTTCTCAGTTAAAGCAAAATCCCAAAATGTCGTTCAGTAGAAAGCTTCAACTTCTTTCTAAACAAAAACTCTTAAGTGTTTTAAAAAAAGATTTGCCAGATTATCTAAATATCAGAGGTTTTAATGAAAATTGCAACAATAGGTACTTTCTTTTGTAAGAACAAGACACGGCAAGAAAGAAGTTTGTCATTTTCCAGAAAATGTTTATTGTGATTGGAGCTTCATGTAAATATTCCCATAAAATAATTTAATGGTGCCGCAACATCAGTCAAATCGAAGGGAAATATCAAATTTCATGAAACTCTTGCCTACGTTTTAACCACACAACCACTTGTTGACGGCCCGGACAGACGTTTTCCTGTAAACCACTTTTTCGATACCAAGGACCCAAAAAACATGGATTCTGACCACACGTGTTAAAAGAAGTTTTTTACTAAAAACAAAATTTGTTAGGGACTCACAAAACCAGTTTTTCTGTCGAAAATCGCGTTTTTTGCTGCTGCATTACAATACAAAATCAAAAAGGAAGATTTGTTTATTATCTGCATTAAAACGAACTCAGGGTAATAAAAATACAAAACAATTCTTTAAATTAATTATCTTCCAGATAGTTGCCGTTAAAGAAAATAATGTTTGCAACATACGATATCAGTAATTAACCAGGATCTCTCAGAGTATTGGAGTTCCAGTATTTGTCGTGAATGACTAATAAATAAACCTAAAATCAGAATGAAAGGTTCTGATGTCAGAAACAGCTCTGATGTCCTCCATAAATACATTTTATAACATTTTGTGTGATCCTAAACAGCGTACTTTTATTTTATTCAGCAATATATAGTATGGTAGGGGTTCGATTGTATTTTCTGAGAGCAGCATTGCCTTAGAAGGGTAGTGGTTGCTTAATATGTATGTTCATGAGTGTTTGAACTATTCTGAGTTGTTCATGAATGAGACACTGCAAAGTGAAACATTTTGTTTTTAAGAGTAAGTTAGGATATGTTGACAGCCACTAAATGTATATTGTTAGCTAATGCTTCGGTAAAGAAATGTTTCTCTCCCCGAAATCCAGGAGAGAAACAAGCATATTCCTCGAAAAGAAACTTTTCTCTTTTAACAGAATATCGAAAAGTGGATATATTATAAAAGTGCGCTTTAGAGTTGGGAAAGGTATAGCTTAAAAGTTTTATTTAATCAATGGTGTTAATATCGACTACTCAAACCTATTCGCAGGAATGGTACACATGGCGTGACGGTTGAACCTCCAACAAACTGATTTTATTTTTGAAAAAAATTGACAATAATAATTAAGCGAAAAATAATTATTTTTGCTTATTACATTTCGAATACAATTACGCACTAATACCCATCTCATCTTTCTGCATCCTCATTTTATTTACCTCATTTTATTTTTGTTCACTAATAACATATTTAAGAGAGAGCCCTCGGTGGCTCGTTGGTTAGCGTGCCTGATTTCCACGGCGAAACCCCTGTTTATATTTCCGGTCGGGGCAAAAATTAATTGTGCACTTTCCTTGCAATTGTCCCAATATCTGTTGCTGTGAGACGATGAGAAAGCTCACTTCTCAGGTTGACCACACGTACCCCTTAACCCATGGCCGCAAGTCCGGGACGCTGATGGTAGGCCTTAGCTCGTAAAGAGTTGTTGCGCCAAAGAACATACACACAATATATTTAAGAACATAGGCATCGACCACTGCTGTCTGAAAAAGCGTCCTCATTTCTGTGAAGACAGAAACCGTTCAGCTTTCAATAAGCGCTGAAATGAGTAATATAAATGTTTTAGAATTTTCTCGAGTTTCCAGGTAACTAACGAAACAATACACACGTCATGTCTGCATAATTTTCTTTCAATTTGAGCGCACATTGGAAATTGTTGTGTGATGCGATAAGTTCCTTTTGACCCTTGTCACACGGACAGCCAAGATCACGCCCATGACTCTGGCCGCGGAAGCCTACGACTTCATTTAGACGCTCGACCGTTTGCCTCGACTGGGAAAACGGGTAAAACTCGCGCATCCCCAGCTTGAGCGTCGGCGTTTCCGCCTGCTGCCACCGCCGGTGCGCGCGGTCGAGTCTGCCCCCGCGCCGCACAATGGCATGCGTGCGTGCGCGTCTGCAGCGAGGGCAGGGCGAATCAAAGCACAGGGCCGAGACGGAGCCCGACATGGGTGCTCGAGCGACGCCGAGGTTGCCAGATCACTTTGCCAATAGGGTTCGAAGTAACTCATTCTATCAGACGCTAAACTACAACTTCGAACGAACATTTCACCCAACATTTCAAGTTGGGTGCCAATACAAAGCTGATGAAAGTTGTATCCTCTATAAAGATGCCGATAGTTTTATTTCACCACTTACTTACACCTCAACGGGTCAACTCGTTTACGACTCCGAGATACGAAATCTCATTAAAACAATGAAAGAAGTGTTCCGATTGCGAATATCCCTTCTATAACACGTTGAGGAAAGTTTGCAGTTTTGTACGGTTTATAAGACAAAAATCCAACGTAAATGAGATTCTGCTGGATACGGTGTATTAATCATATTGAGAAGTAACAATGTGTAACATTGGAGATAAATGATGATTGATGATAAATTCAGTGTACGCGTATGCAACCGGCAACACACGTTACAAGCGCATAAAAAACGGCGCGTTCTAGGCCCTTACAGCTAGGATTTCGGACCTCCTTAGTATACCGAGTTATATTCCTTAAATGTAAGCTACAAAATGAAACCTAGTTGGAGCTCTGAATACGGTTTTAGAGCTTTCGCTCTTCTTGTGCATCTGTACTTCGCTTTTAAAATAATGGTTTACAAAGTACTAAATGTTTGCATGGGCGGAAATAACATTCAATATCTACAACTTTCAATAACATATCTTATGAAGGAAATAATCTCCATCTTCAATATTGTAATTGTAAGACACGAAAAAATTGAATTATTGCAATTTAAAAAAAAATCATCAGTCAAACGTTTCATAAAAAAATTAGAAGCCATTTTTGAGAAAATTTTGAAAATCTAATACAGGCTTTGTACAGTGACCTTCCAAATTCAAATATCCGTTTTAAACTAGCATGGCTTTGCGTTCCTTTAAATCGATCGGGCGGTATTTCTTACGAAGAAAATGGGCTGAACAAAGTTTTACATTTATGCATGGGTGGAAATATAAGTCAATATCTACATACCGTTTTTAACTCATGGAAATTTTTCATCATTGTAAATAAAACCTTATTTATCTTTTACATTGTCATAAAACCTTATTTATCTTTTACAATACATTATTATGATAGTGCAATGCAGAAAACAATTACGAACGATAAAATGTCCATAGTGCTAGTGCTGACCACAAAACAGACACACGTACAGACAGACGGAAGAACAGAGACGTTTTGTCGTTAATTGGTTTTTGGAAATCAATGGCTCACAAAGCATAGATTCTGACTAAACAACGTATTGGAAAAAGTATTTTGCTATACAGTGTATACAGAAACAAGATTTATCCACTTTTACAATACGAGGGCCCAATATGAGCTTCTCGACGCATGATGACAGTATTTTTTTCATATGAAGTACGGGCGAAAAAGTAAATATACGTAAATCGGTTCACTAAGAAAATTCAATCATTTCAATAATAGCGCTTTGATGTAACAATTCCTTTGCATCTAGAATCAAACCTGATCAATCTCAGGAGAAAGCGTCCGACAGTTCAATCCATGTCGTACAGGAGTTTCCTGGTAACCGTTGTGATCATTACTAACATTTGCATTTCTCGTCACGGTTGTTCCCAGCACTGAGCAGCTGCTGGCACCGCCACCGCCGCCGTTTGGCCTCAATGCATTGTTCTGCAGACCCCAGACGCAGGAGTAGCGCGCACAGAACAACAGAACTGAGGAACGACAGGGTGGTCAAACTCACACTCATCGACATGAACTCCTTGATGTTCGTCTGACACCTCTACCCCGTTCATGACGAAATTTAAGATTTGTTTCTACAAGTTGTTCGTTACATTTAAATGTTCTGAAAAAATGTCAGTATTTGTCAATCGACTACAATCAACGACCTACTATCCACTTCTCAAAAATGTTTTTAACCTGGATCCTGGATTCTAGGGTTGACAGATTCGAACGAACTCAGACAGCGGCGGGGAGATGGCTGAAAAAACTCATAACGACATTGAACACAGTGTTCCGTACACAAGGGTACTCGAATTCGTTGTGATTGAAGGCATATACGA